TGTTGCTGCCTGGGGGCATGGGATGCATTATGGGGTGCAGGAGAAGAGCATTTTGAGATTGCATAAGACTTATTATGGGATGTGTAGGGGAGGAACCAAAGGCAGGGAAAGGGATGGGTTCAGGTGATTTGGGGAGAAGTAAGGGTGGGGAAATAGAGGAATAAGGGGATAAAAAGGTTGTGTGTAAATAGGCTGCTGGTTGGCACACTTCTCTGGCTGTGCTCTGTGCCTGAATCGATGTGGTCTGTCCTGTCTTTCTGTTACAATTGCTTTCTAATTCTTTCTTGGGTGAGGGACTCTATTTGAGGGTGTACGTCTCAGTGCTAGCAACTAGAGTCAAACCAGGGGTCAGAGGGACCATGTGTCCATGCTGCCAGCAACTGGAACAAGTGCAGGTCTGGATGCCAACAGTTGGGCTGAGACCCTGGGCTGGAGAGCTGGGTGCCAGCAACTGGGGACACTTTATAGAGTGAGTAAAACCAAATGTGAGCCACTGGAGTGGCATTGGGGACCTATATTTGTCTGTGCTGCAGTGCTGGAGCAAGCGTGGGTATGTGACGAGCACATGGCTGCTAGCGAAGATCAAGCTGGATCAGCTGGTGAGTGGGTGAATATGGTGGAAGCATGTATCTCTAAAACCAAGACCACAGGAGGAGCTAGCTGTCAGAGGCAGCAGGAAGTCCTGGCCAGCTACTGGAGAGACTGTAGGGTCAGGGGCTCCCCTGGGTAGAGATGTGTGTCTGCCTGTGTGTCTCTACGGCAAGACTGCAGTGGGGTTGGGTACTCAGGGACCAGGGAGTCCCAGCCAGCTGTGAGTGATGGTCTGTACCAGCAACTGGAGTTGGGCTGAAGTCTTGGGGGCTCCTACACCCAGCCACAGAGAAGAGTAGGATGAAGCTGTTGGTGTGAGCACTCTGTGTGTCTGTGATCGGTGTGGCTGGTGGTGTATATGTGTGGTGTATACGTGTAGTGTGTGTTGTCTGCCTGCTGGGAGTAGATTTTTCAGCCTTACTACTGGTTGGACCTGAGCATGCAGCTGTGGCTGCCTGGCCTCTTGGCTGTCAGATCCAGCATGTTATGTCTTATAACAGGATGGTCTATAATTACTAACGTTGGGTGGTCTGTGTAATGACATGGTGTTTTCCTTGCCTGTAACTGTATCAGACATACCTCTTTATTACCAATTATTCATTTTTCAGTCTATCTATTTGATCTTTCGGAAGAAACGATGAAGCTCTTTCCTGAGTGATGACTAGAAAATACCTGGTTTTGCCTGACTTCGGAGCCTTTAGCATTCTCCCACTCCTTGGACACATGTATTTGTGATGCAGGTTGTTAGGATTTATGCAACAGGAGCTTTGCCTGTAACCTTGGAATATAAAGGAAAAAGTCTAATCCCTCAGAAATGTAAATAGGACTTGGACCATACTCTTGAAGATAAAAACATCACTGCCTATACCTTCATCTTACTGTAATTCTGCAGCTAAGCTTGATTGCTCAGAAAGGATTGTCACAGCAAGTTTTAAGTGGTGCTTGCTATAAAAGACGCCAGAATGATGACAGTGTTCTTAAATGTGCCACTGTCCTTAATTTTGGTGTTTGGGTGGTTCTCGTGTGAAAGTTGCGTGCTGCTACTCTTGAAGTTGAAGCTGGCAGCCAGAGGACTGTTTGTATTGTAACCAAGCTGTACAAACGAAGAGAGTGAGGAATGCAGAGTCTCAAGAGGCCTTTAAAAGCAAATTCAGAAACCTTGTTTGCATAGCTTTTAAGCTTTTGGCTTACTTGTGTAGAGGATGAGTTCAGTGAGTGGGAACGCATGATTTCAAAGAGGATATGAGCATTTTTTCATTTGTCTGTCCAAGTCAAAAGGGCTTTGTAAAGGTGCAATGAATACGGGTGATGTTGAAAAACCAATATTAGGAAACAGTGTTTGATAAGAAAGGAAGATGTCAACTTAGAAGACTACTAAGGTGGATGCCAGGTCAGTCTGATCCTTGCTATACCCAGAGGAAAAAAAAGTTTCAAATATGTAATGGTTTATAGTTCCTACTTAAGTTAATAGAATTGGTGTCACCGTATTAATTTATTGTAATGTTTCCCCTAAAACTGAGTTGTAGCTCTTTAAAATATGTGTGTTTATTTTGTTAGTGCTTTGTAGCTCAGATGCTTTGGTTTATGATTCTAATTATAAAATAATGACAGATATGATGGTTTTTAATCTGCCTCCTAGTCAGGTTTCTCAAAACAGAATCACTAAGTTTGGTAATCGTAGTAAGTAAAAGTCAAACGCTGGGTTTTTTTCCCCCTCTTTCCTCCCCTTCGTCTGACATTGCTGTTTGAAGGCTCAGGACAAGCTTTTATAAAGGCCGCGTGTTCCTGCTGTCATCACTATAAACTAGCTCCGGCTGCTCAGATAGCAAATTCTGGGTCTGGACAAAAAATAAATTTTGCCATAATTTCATGAACATCTGTGTATGCAGCATCTCCCATGTTCTGGTGGCAGAGCCTGTGTTTCTTACCCCTTTTTTTGATCTTGGCAGCAGCTGTCCCATGTCCCCCACTGCTCCTACCTGGGAGGGCAGCGAGCGGTAGCTGGCGAGGCTGCTGGCACCGTGCTTAACATCTGGGTGCAGGTAACTGGAATAGGTGACAGCTTACCTGGGCGGATGCTCCGTTTCCATGGCCCGTGCTATGACTGGATATGCAATATGTCCTCTGAATTGGATGTACGCTTAAAAAAAGGATTCGCAGTACCCGAAGCCCAGCTGCTACTGAGATCGTACTAATAACCTTATGAGAGAGAGACTTCTGTGAGGAACCTTAAACCAATGTGCCATTAATAGACTAGTGCACGGAGAAGCAGTACTACAGTTTTTGGTGCATTTCTCTACTATTGTTTCTGTGGAAATCTTGGATGCTTTCCTTTGCAAAGGCCTCCAAATGCAAACTCTCAAAGGAAAAAGTTATGACCATGAGTATTTGCATGTCTGTCTGGCACAGACCTCAGCTTTTGCTGGATGGAATGATTTCCCCTTGGAACAAAGGGATATGTATATATGTAAAAGTTAATCAAGGATTATTTATATGTTGTTTGAGAACTGTGACTGATTCTGGAGGCTTGCTGGAAATTCCTATGAAGTGAGGAAGTAGTTCCATGATAGCTGGTTGTAAGTATAAAATATGAAAACTTGAATATTAAGGCTTGAATGTACAAGCAGAACTGTGGAGTAACTGTAGAAAGAGTAGCCGCACCTTGGTGTACGTTGCACTTGTACTCATTTAGCACCAATTCGTTTTCTGTTGCCAGGGAAAACCAAAGTGTGCCCAAAAGATACAGACAGAAGAAAAAGTGTGTCTGCGTTTATAAAATGTCACCAGCCTATCCTAATGAGTGAATGAATCCAGGATCACAAATGTGAAGGGAGTCGGTAAAGACTTATGCTAAGACCATAACAAACTGAAGAAGGTTCGATCTAGACAGACAGATGTAGGCTGCTGTGTAGCTGCATAATGTTTTCTCACTAGCTACTGGAGGAAATTCGGTACTGCTTATTTTCATTCCCTGTTATGCACATGCAGTATATATGCATTTAAAGCTAAGACCTCTTGTGTTTCCTATGTAGACTTTAATAACCTAAGTCTGTTAGATGTTTAGAGCCCAGCATTAACTTGTTAGATCTTCACATGAACCTGCCATATGAATTTTCTCAGACTTGCTTCTGCTATTAGATGATGGCACTTGATTTCCCTAGTCTCGATTTTTGGCTTGACAGCAAAATTGATACTTAGGCTTTTTTTAATCTGTGGCAAAGCAGCAAAATCCTGCTGTGCTGATAATACCATAACAACACAGTGGGACATGGCTTCCTTGAAGTTTGTGTTGAAGTCTGGTGGCAGTTATCTTTTTTTTTGCACAGTCTACGCACACATTTGTACTATCAAGGTAATGATTGTGTTGCTCATGTAGTCCAAATGCCAGCAGCCGTTCTGGCACATCATAGCTGGGAGAGCTAAACAATAAATATCCTTTTTCTTACCTCCTACCTTCAGTTCCTCAAGCCTTCAGTCTTACCCATGTCAGTGTTGTTAATGCTTAGCATCGTATACTGGGTATTACGTCCAGGTTCATAGTTTTCCTTTTATGTCTTGCAGTCATTTTTGGTTGACATATCTAGTTGCTTACAGTTAACTAACCAAATTGTTAGTTTGTGTATTCAGTTTATATAATAAATGGGTCATGTTATTTGTTCATTGGTTTTCCCATTATCTTCAACCATGTACTGTAGAACGGTTACTTAAGTGTTATTCGAGATTGAAATTTGTAAAGAGAACGGAAAGACTGACATTGCAGGAGTTGTCTATAATTTGCGTAATTTGCACTCCCTGAATTTTTATGTGAGCACAGTTATTTAATTGCTTTAGTCTGGCCAGTTTGTTCTACAAGGTGCTGATAAGGTAAATTGGTAATTTTGGATGGTGGTGGATCATAGTCACAAAGATGAGCTCTTTTCTTCCGCTGTTACACAAAGCTAGTGTAGTTTGACAGCTGGTAGTTGCAGTGATTTTACTGTCATCTGACTGCTTGCAATTTTACTGGTGGTGTTTAACTGTGCTCAAAATAGGTCTGCTGTGGTTGAAAGGCTTTAGGAAGAACTAAAGTGAAGTGACAGCAGGCAAGAGCATTCCCACGGTGAAATGATAGGAACTATGTTTTTCAGTGTAGTACACTGGTTTTACACACTTTATTTCTACTCTTCAATTAGTATTGCAATTGTATTTGTAACAGCTTTAATTGCTTTTAATATGTTAGAATGTTTATTTTAATCTTGGTGCATAGGAATCTGAATTATCTTAATAAGAAAGTCAAGCTGATTTTCATAGCTTCTTTATTGCTTAATTCATTACAGTGAAGAAGCTCTCCCCTTTATTTGCAGAAGTGCATACAGTTACAAGTTCTTGTGTTCAAGTAGTAACTCTTTTTCTTTTCCTCATCTAGGAAGGCTGTGGAAGAGTTACTTAAAGAAGCAAAACGTGGGAGAACCAGAGCTGAAACAATGGGAGCTATGGGTTGGTAAGTTGTGCCAAGAGGAAATGAATGCTATGACCGATGCCAAAATAAATTTTACATTTAATGCGTGGCAGAAGTCTCTACCTTTTAGTTTGCTTCATGTGTAAATAATTTGTCTTCATCCAGGTATTAATTTGTCTGGGCAAAAATTTCAGTCAAGATAATAAAGAAGTTGAAGTAAATTCTCCTTGCATGAAATTGCTTGACTGAATGTGTTGAAGTCAAAGCAATTAGAAATCTGGTAGTAGCTTCTGTAATAGTGTTTCCTTACAGTAGATGGAATTGCAAAGTTTGGATTGGAACCTCGTGAATCTTTAAAATACTGGGTAGCTTCAGCATGCATATACTTACATACTGGCCACATGTTACTGGGTTAGATTCTGTTTGAGTTAAAAGAATTCATAGCCTGACAAAGAAACCTAAACCCTTAGAACAATAAAAATAATAAATGATCCTTTAGTAGAGAATCCGTCTGTAAATTGCAGCCAAAAATGAACTCAAGGTATAATTCAATTTTGGAAGGAGGTATTTTTAATACTTTAAAAAAAAAAAAAAAAAGAAGCCCTAAACCCCAGGGTCTAATTTGTATAGCAAGTGAGAAAAGAATCATAGTATTTAAATCTTAAGTGAAATACAGTATTAATTCTTCAATGCAGTATTTCAGTTTTTACAGCTAGATTATCATGGAATGTTATGCATGTAATTGTAATTGGAGAAGTAATAACATGCTGAGAAGAGTCATTCATCCTAAAATAATGTATCTGACTGATAACAAGCTATCAGATCTAGGGATGTTCACACAAGTAGTGCACCAGTTGACTGCGTTAAACTCATTTGTAGATAAGGTTTGGCTTCCTCCATCAACAGCAGTAAAAGATAAGCCTGCGTGGTTAATGAAGTTCTCAGCTGATTTCTTGGCCATGTTTGTTTTAGTAGCCCTGAAGAGATTAAAATAGTGTCTTGCTGAAAACAGTTAATCCTTTATATTCTCTAAACAAGTTTTGGGGGTTTTGTGTATTTCATCCAGTATTTCTGCTAGGGATGCAGTTTATACCCTTTATGTTAATATGGTTAAATTGGTTTAATCCCCTAGAGGGGTTATAGCTATGCTGATACAGCATGCTTTTACCCTGCCAGCCTTGCCAAATGGCCAGGTAAATCAGTGCAGATAATTAGCACCATGAAGTGTTGCATGCATCCAGTTACTGTGAATTTGCAAGTTAATTGCAGGTGTGGAGACTAAAGATTTCAGCTGGGAGATAACCAAGTGTCCCTGTGCAACTTCGGTGCCGCATGAGCAGTCTGGAATACCTGCCAGGAGCGTGTATGGGCTTCTGCTGCTGGCTCCGGCTACTACTTATCCCTTGTCTGTAAAAGAGTGGTGGTCCTCCTCAGCTGGCCATGATGATCAGCTCGGGGTAACACGCGGTTTGCTAAAGCCTGATGCCCGAGGCCTGCCAGAGAAGGGGATAGCCAAAGGTGACCTGTTCTCCAGAACAGCTGCATATTGCACTAGAGTGAAATAGTGTCTGGCTAGTTCAGGGTTGCGTTAAAGGTGTAGGAGGAGAGGATTGTCAAGAAGGCTTCAGGCAGAGGAAGACTGTTGACCTAAGGATTGGCTTGGTGATATTCTGAACTGAGACTGCTGAAGTAAGGATCCTTTCAACTGCAGAGGAACATGAGAATAGCTACACTGGGTCAAACAAAGGATCCATCGCTGTGATGCCCCATCTTCATCAGTGGCCAATACCCGGTGTCTAGGAAACGGAGGAAGGAAAATACAAGAAAGTAGCAGTGCTTCCTCAAGGTACTATCCCAGCTTCAGGCAGTCTGCAGCTCAGGTTATCCTGCTCTCAGAAATGATTATTTTTTTTGTATATGATACTTCTCTAGGGATTTTCCCCTCTCTGAATTTATCCTTGGAGAAACTGGTAGTAATCCCATTTATCACAAATCTGATGCTGTAGAGTTTGGCATAGGCTAGCATACAGCTTGTGTGTGTGGTCGTAAGGAAGCTATAAATCCCCTCCCAGGCAGACTCCCAATAAGTCTTTGATGTCTAGTTGTGCAAGGTCAAGAGACAAAACAGCAGACAGAAGCTGCCACTGCTATCTTCCCTTGAATATTTTTCGTGCCCCTTGTGCTGTTTTGGTCCTTCTGAACTAGCCCAGCAACTAGGTATTGCATATATACCTGGGAGATGAGAAAACCAGTAAGATATTTGGGAGGAAACTTAACTATGCTCAGTTGAGTATCCCACTCCAGCAAAATGGAGCAAATCCTGAAGGGCTTATTACATCTAGGACTGAAATGTAACCTTGCAACTGTAAACTACTGAGAGGAAGATAGCTGCTGTTCTGAGCTTTGTGGATGCCAAATGAAATGAGCAGAAAAGTTACTTCATGAAAATGTGTATTAGTAGACCAAATCCAGGAAAGCATAACTGTTAGAAGAGAAGAGACAAGATCATCACCAACTTGTCTAAAAGCATAGTCTTAACAGGTAAAACACAAAACCTTCCTTCCTTGCCAAACTCAAAATGCTTACAGGTGTGTTTCATGAGGACTTCTGGGATTTCCTCAGCCCTTTGTCAGAGGAGTCCTGGAGAAGAGATGCACAAACCCTGGAGACATCTAGTGTAAGGCCATCAATCCTGCATTGGCACTGGATAGTTGAAGCAACTCAGCCTATGAAGAAAAGATTTGTTCTGCCATCTGTCTTTCGGTAAGGAGAAGCAGAGGCTGCTACTGCTCATACTTCGCTGATTCCACTTGGATACTGGGAAATACGTTTCTGGAGTCAGTGGCATTTGACAGGATTGGTTAAAGGGAGGTGTGTGGGGAAGTTGCAAGCATCCAAGTGAGCATAGCTGACAGGTACAGGGAAAAAAAAAATGTACCAAGGGGTCATCCTTTAGCCCACAGTCTCTGATACAAAGACTCAGACTTGAAATATGGGACAGCATTGTTAGTATTTCGTCCAGTTTGGGAATGTTTTACCAGTGTTATGTTGCCTTACAAGTTTGCTATGGATGACACGGGTAGGTGCTGCAACGTGTAGGGATTACATGGCAGTAGAAGGAAGACTTGTCCCAAATAGGGAGGTTGGTGGTGATAGCAGGCTAGAGACTCTCTGAACATGGAGCAGCTGTCACTATTGCCAATGGGCTGCCTGAGCTCTTATTTGGTAAAGAGTGTAAGATCATTGCCCTCGGTGCTCACAGGACTGCTTAGATTGGCAGTGGCTAGGTCCATGGCAAATTAATCCAAGAAATACTGGATATTCGTATTTATATATTTCTCAAGTATTGACTTGTTCCTTGGATGTCCTCAAGATTCTTGCTGTCAACACTGCAGTATTTCTAGTTCCTGCAATGCTCCTTCTGTGTGTACTTTCTGGCCATAGTGATTCTTGTTGAGGGTCTCCTACATCCTTATGATGCCACATAATGTAGATCCTGCTGATGATGTGTCTGGTTCAAGCTTTAGTGGAGCTAATAACAAGTAAGAAAATTTATGAGAAGGGTAATGGAGGATCCTCTTCTGAAGGTGTCTTAATCCTGGAAACATGGAGCAAAAGAGAGCAGAATCTGTGGCTAAATCTCAGTGACGCTGCTGTGATGCCAGAACTTCTGAGATGAGAAAAGACATCAGAGCAGCTGTTGGAAAGTTAACACTTGAAGGACCAGATGGGGATCCAGGATGGGAAGTTGTGGACAAATAATGTAAGAACATTTGAAACTATTAGATAAATGTATCCGTGATTCATCAGATGGAATAAAGCTGTAAGGTATTGGGATTTCCATTGTGTATCTAGGTGAAGTCAAGCTAAAAGCTCAGCTTTCCTTAAGTGGTTTTATCAGTCCTATGTACATAATTCATAAGCTTCTTACAGCAGTGGGGTTAGGTCCTATTTTAAAAGGTTGTTTTGCTTTAACTGAGAAAGGTGGTTAAAATGCCACAAAAGATACTGTGTGGACAAGTTCTAGAGGCTATTTTTTTTTCTCCAGTGTATAGGTCTGGTCTTCAAAGATGCTGGTAGCAAGTGAGCTAAGGCTGAACTGAATATAATCTTCTCGGCTTACTTTAGAAGCTTACCTAAAGTAAGATACGGAAAACAAGATATTTTGGTATGGTTTGTTCAGCTCTGCATTGTAAGACCAGATGAAATTGCAAAAAGCAGATAAATGTTGAAAGCAATAATTTTTAGCCCTATTGTAAAGCAATCCTAAAATTGCTCTCATTCCTATATATAACTTTCTATTCAATATCAAATCTGTTAGTCAGAAGTACTGCAGAATACAAAATAATGCAGATGAGGCTGAAGACTTTAAGAACACTGAACTGCAAAATGCTGTATTGCATCTTATCTTTGAATCGGTGTTGCATGACTGTGCAGAAACACTGCAATGTGATTCCACTACATCTCTTTCATTTGAATGTGAGGAGGAGGAGAAACAGGGTACAGACAGAGGTTGCAAAGGATATCTGTTAAAATCTTGTGATCAGAGCACAGGTTCCCATCCAAAGTCATGCCAGCTGTATCAGCTGCCAACACCATACATAAAAGCTTGCTGTGTCATCCCATGCGTCCTCTTTTGTGAGATCTCCTGTGAAAGGCTAACAGCCTGGATTGGTTGGCTTGGCAAAACAACCTCTAGCTGCTTTTTTTTTTTTTGGCCTTTGGTCACTCTTCTGCTGAGTACTGTATTTTCCATGGCAGTTTGGAAGTGGTAAGGATGTACTTGTAAGTTCATGCATAATGAACTCTGTTTCTTGGAAAGATCCGATTTACGCTGCATGCTGAGGCTGACTGTGCCAAGCCTGTGTGATGTGTCCAGTTACTCAGCAGAGAAAAGACTGTGGTGCATGGCACTGCACACTTTTGTCTTAAATGGTGTCAGCATGTTTTACTGTTGAGAACTTGTAAGGCGCACTTCTGCACTGAACTGGTCTGCTATGTGATGGCAGGTGTTGGCTGGAAATTCTGTGTTATTGCACAGATGTTGATTTAAAATGTCAGAAGTAGAGTTAAGATTTGACCTAAGTTCACAACAATGGATTTAATCCTTTTTTCTTGCTCAAAATGCAATGATGACACTTTGTCATTGCATAGTGGAGAGATTTTGGGGTACACGGGACTTTTCTGCAGGGGCCGATGAGGTTCTGTGGGTAAAAATAACTTGGTTTAGCTTCTTGGAGCATACGAAGCAAAAAGTGAACCCCTACGTTGAGCGAATACATTGCTACAGAACTGGAGTCTGTTTTGTAGACAAGACTGCTCTAGAATTGCAGGTTGTGTGCTTGCTTTTGTCACGCCTGCAGTCCTGCTTAAGACACACTTCAGTTTGGAACTTTAATATTCTTTTAACATGTTTTGTTTTTCTTAAAAAATAAAAAAAAAAATAAAATCTGTGTTACTGTTAACTAGTCAGCAGTGTTGCATTCCCCCTTGCATGGTCTGAGCTTCCCTCTCAGCCTTTCAGAACCCACATTGAGGGCAAAGCTGTCATGGAAGTGAGCGTTGCAGGATCAGACCTGGGGCTTGGAGCAACCTGGTCTAGTGGGAGGTGTCCCTGCCCACAGCAGGGGCGTTGGAACTATAGATGATCTTTAAGGTCCCAACCAACTTAAACCATCCTATGCTTCTGTGAGACCTACAGCAAGCCAAAGGGTTGCCTTCGGGGAGGTCAGCTGTAGAAGTATTGTAGAAGTTTCTCACCGTTAGAAACGCTGTCAGAGATACCAGTGGATTAATACAGTCCACTTTTCATCTTCACGGTTCCATATGTACCATGGATATATGTAAACATTACAGGCTTGTGTGAGTGCATGTGTAATGTAGCATGTGCCATACCTCTTGTTTCCTTTAAGACTTAAAAGTAGAATTTGCTTTGAAGTCTGAGGTCAGTAAAACTAAGGACTGATGTTTCTCTTCAGGGCCGTAACGTACTGCTGCTCTGTGAAAGCCTGGTGGCTCGCTTTTATTGCTGTATGATGGTGAGCTAACGGCATCTCTTAGCTAACGCTGAAGCCCTGCATTTCTCATCTGTTTTCATTCTTAGTATAGCTCAGGCAGCACTCGTAGTGCCAAAAAGAAATAAATACTTAAGCAAGGTGAATTTATTTAGGGCAGATTGTCTCATTCTGGTGCTATAGATGTATTAGTGCTTAATCAATGCGTTAGCTCTTAAGAAAAAGCAAGAGGAAGGAGAAAAATGTGAAATAGTTTTTGCCTGGATGCAGCCTAGAGGAAGCTGCCCTCCTTGGTAGGAAATGTTGAGGTACAATGGTTTAATGCTGGCATAAGACATACAGAGGACTTAAATGTTGGCTGTTTTGTGTTATGTCTTGAGTGTAACCTGTGCCATGGTGTGTTCAGCACCATGTTCATAGCTGATGTAGCTTGAAGTAGAAAGCCTATTCCACTGACACATATTACCCTTGTATTTTTACTGGGTAATGAAGTTAATGGATAAATACCATCTCCCTAATTTACAAAACAGCTATACTAGATACAGATCTAGACCTTTTTTCTTTTTTTTTGGTTTTTTTTTTTTAACCAGGATTTGAGTAAAACAGTATAGATTTACATGCAGAAAGTTTAGAAAACTGTAAAACTATTTGTGCTATAGAAATGTGTCAAGAAATACCTAGTGTAATAAACAATGTGGCTGCTTAATTCCAAAATGACTCTTATAAGTTCTTTGAGAATTTAGGACAAGAACAGTTATCAGTAATGCTTAGTAGGCAGACCTGAAGCAAACATCACAGTACATGCCAGATCCAGTTGAAAGTCATGAAGTATGCTAAGTAATCAGACATGATCTTTGATACAATTTTCTTGTTATTCTGACACCTCTGGTTATTCAGAGGTGTCAAAGGTTTTTAAATGGTCAGGGTATAGTTTCTACACTTAGACAAAATAGTCAAGTAGAATAGATGATCTTAATGTTGTGGAGTTGGGATTCTTTGCCCCTTACTGAATCATCTATGGAGTCACTGTGATCTCCAACAGCTCAGCTTTTTCTAAGTAATCCTGTAACTTCTCCATTAGCATGCAGACACAAAAATGTTGTCAAGAAAACCAGCAGGAAAAAAATTGAAACTTGTTTTTTTTTTTCATTCCATTCTTCAAGAGATTATAAGTTGGGAATAAGTAGTGTACAACTGATACCAACAAGATAAACCAGTACTCTGCATTTTATTTATTTTACTAAGACTAGCTGATAAATTATGTGTGAAAGTGTTAAGCTGCAAGAGGAGAAAGTCAGAAGCAATGGAAAAAAGTTGGATAAGTATCCTTTCTGTTTAAGAAAAAGAAATAAAATACTTTGGTTGGTTGCCAAATATAAATTAAAATCAGTGTGTCTCATGTCTGTTTTATTACTACAGCTGTTTGGGTTCATGCAAGTGTATCCTTTGCTTTCTAAATATCTCAGTTCATTGAATAACGCTGTCTTTAGTAGCTTGTGATCTTGTAAACCATTCCAATTTGACTTAGAATATGTTATTAAATATTTGATTCCTGAATACCTAAGTTAAGCACTGTCGAGCTTAAAATATATTGTCATCCTCCGCTTCCCCCTGCGTGCACTACCAGGTGAAAATCCTGGGTTTTTTCACTGTATTGACTGTATTGAAGTAAAATAATTTTCATCCTGTGAAGAGTAAGATAAAAGGAGAGTCGAGACAACCTTGAGCATATCTTTCTGTACTGAGAGTTTACACTAGGTGGCATGCAAGGAAAGCCAAAAGCACAAACCTGTCTTAAAATTCTTGTAGTTAAAATCTCAGACTCGTTTCAGGATGTTTTTATCTTGTCTTTTGATCACTTTTCAATGTCTTTGCAGGTTGAAATGTCCTCTTGCTGGTACAAATAAAAGATTTCTTATTAATACCATCAAAAACACGTTACCGTCTCAAAAAGAACAAGATCAGGAACGTGAGCAAAAGGAAGACAGTAAGGAGCCTGAGCCAAACAAAAGCAGGAAAGAAGAAAAACCAAAGAAACGCAGAATTCACCCATATACGCCCAGCTTTCAGTCCAGAAGGAGAGTCAGCTACTCTCCTCCGAGGCACCGTAACAGGAACCAGCACACAAAGGATAAGCATGAAAAGCGATCAAGCAAACGATGAGGGGAGGGGAGTGACGAATGTGTGGTGTTAGAAGCCAGGAATGTCATTAAGTGTGGGACTGCAGGGATGTCTCAGTCTTTCAGGAAAAGATGCTGTTCGAAATTGAATTTTGAACCGAGTTGCTTGTGTGAGAAGTAACCTTGAGGTAGCTTTAGAAAACTTTTCTTTGGGACCTTTAAGAGAAAAGCAAAGTGCAGCAAAAATGTTTCAGTTGTTTTAGAACAGACATTCCTTTCCCTTTGCTCCGTATCTGTCTCCCCTGCTGACTAAGCTTAGGGTCTTGGTGACGAAGCGTGATACGTGTGTCACTGTCTGATACAACTCGTTTAGTCATGTCACTCTTCTGGAAATAAATTTAAATTAAGCAGAAATCTATTTATTGTGTAAAGTTGGCAGAACTTCTTTGCTGCTAACCAATAAAGAAGTTTTGCGTGTTTGGCTTAGTTTAGTTTTACAGAACCTAGAAGAAGAGAAGGCTGGTCATTGTCTGACCAAGCACATGCATTTTGTATAGAATATAAGAGTTTGCTTTCTTTAGTATAAAAAGAACAAATTTAAAATGGGCAGCACTGGAGGAACTACCAGGAAATACTGATTTTGCTTGTTATTGTATATTCACAAACCTGTCATAAATAATAATAAACATTACCCCTAAAAAGCCATAACTGCAATAATTGTCTCTGTTTAGACTTCCCTTTGTAAGGAAGTAGTTTGAACAGTCTGTTGTCATGGTGCTTTCAAAACAAACCTTGAAGATAAAGTTATCATGTTCTCTGTCCACTGCTAGAAAGTTTCCAAGTAAATGTGTAATACTAGAAATGCAGAGGTGATACTTAAACAGTCAAACGCTCACTTTCCAAACCTGTGTGGCAGTTCTGTAGTGGTACAGTTCTTAAACTTGTGACTCGGAGCACATGTAATACACATCGGCATATTCTGCGTCTCAGTTCTGTTTGTGTTACAGTAACAAACTTGCGTGAAATATTTTGTATTTCAGTATTCTCAGAAATAATTGTTTTGAACATAGGTTTCCGTTTTTAAGTGTGTTGACAATAAAATTGAAAATGTTCATCAAAAGTGCTTTGTGTAATTAATACTTTTAATGTGTTTTATGTGACAAGGTCCTCTAAGGGAAAGGAGGACCGGTGCTTCGTGGTCCTTCAGTGTTGTGTCAGGCCAAGAGTGCCACCTATAGGCTTATCTATAGCTCGTCTTGCTATACTTCCCTGTCTCTCCTAGAAAAAACAAGTTAGCTAGGAGATGGGGAGAGCGAATTGGAGATTTGCCGTGGCTGAATTTTGATGTGTGAGCTGGGAATTGCTTTTCTGAGTCATGAGAAGGTTGCTGAGCAGGCGTTGAGTGCACTGGTGGCTGCCAGGGTCTGCGTATCCAACAAAGTGGGATACTTTTACATTTCCACTGAGGAGTTGCTGTTAGTTTCCCTGCAGGAACCATAGCAATAGAACAGAAGTGCCAGCCTTTCAAATCATGGGAAATTTTCTAAGTAGGATCAATGAAAAAGTAGTATCTTTGGTGAATATAGGACTCTCTTTGGTTTAGATAAACAGATGTTGCTTGTATTCCTTATTTTGCGGGACACCAGTTGTGTTCTCCTCAATAATCCTTTTTGGAAGGACAGCACCTCCCATGCTGGCGGGGCTGCAGGGACAGTGCTGGACGGATGTGGCTTTGCAGCAGAGAGTTCACTTCACCATTGATTGGGGTTAGGGCTGGAGATGTTCCGCAGGACAAATCCCCATAAATTCTTGCTGGTCTGTCTGGCGGCAATACTATGGTGTCCTGAGAACTTTCCACACTCAGGCCTCTTCAAACACACCTTTAGGATAAGTGCTACTATTGAGTCTGCATTAATTTAAGCCAGGCTTTCAGGTGGGGAAAGTGATTAGAGTATGCTTTCAAAATGAGTGGATTGTTGATAGAGAGCGCTTCCATACTGGAAATGCTCAGCTCGAGGATCTGACATGACCTAAACCAGATAGCTGGAGAAAGCCTGTCTTTGTCAGTGGTGGTAGGTTCAGATCTAATTTCACTTTTTTCTGACTTGCAGAATGTATGTGAATTACTAATTTTTCATTGGTTGATTCCATATTTTTTTTGATGTCTTTGATAAGTCATAATAATAAACACGGAAAACTGTTGCTCATTAACCATTCTTAAGGCAAATCTTCACCTGCTGATCACTTTTTTTAACAAAAAATTGAGTGCAAAAAGTCAGGTTTGTATTGTGTCTGCAGTTGCTCCTATTGTGCAGCAACAGCATCATGTTTAGAAGGTATCTTAAAGGTGGAATTTAAACCCTGAAACTTAGATGAATGTGACTTTTCAAAATGTGTTATTAACTGCTGTAACTCGGAACGCTTGTTACTCATAAAAGTGCCTTGTCCTTGAAATAAATCAATAGATAAATAAATAAACAGTGTGATCTTGGTCTTAGCTTCCTGTAGTAGTGTGTTGCAGTTACTCACATGGGACGGGAATGCACCTTACGTTCATGTTGCTGCAGTGATCCTTCAGAGGTGTTTCTTGTTTAACAGTGAACTACTAATGTTGTCTTTGTTTAGTTTAAGTGCACGTTGTATGGGTAACAGAGGTTATTCAGCTGAGAGCGTTCTCTTGCTGTAGCCACAAGAACTTGTTAATTAGAATTTATGATTACATTGGACAGAAATCCTCAAAATGTTCGTTTTCATTAACCTGATACTGAGTGTAGATCACAAAACCATGTGGAAGAGGAGGAGAAAACATGTTACGACTGGGCTTTGTGAAATACTTCCATTAGTTTTGACTGTCAGGGATATGGTAACGTGCAGTTTTTACATTCATTGTACAGCCTCTTCTCTTTTGTAAATCCAGTTTGAATTATTTACAATGAATCATGAACGTCCAAGAAAAGCCCAACAGATTTGATGTATAACACGACTTAGGCAAAAATAGACTCTGTTTTTCAGACTGATCCAAGTTTACTTCACAGAAGTTTCTTGAGGTGCAGTTGTAAGAGCGTTCCTTAGCGATTATGAAATTTCTACAGAAAACTAGTCAACAAAGGAGATGTAAATGTTTGTAGATCAATGGAATAATGTAGCAGGAGGGGGTTGCTTTTCCTGCACAAACAGAACTGGGTTTTGTGTTGTGGCTGCAAGTTGATCACTGAGAAGCATGTTTCCTCTCCTGCCCTATCGGAGCGCTCATTAATAATTATGTGTTTTCAGTTAATTAAACTGGAACAACACAAAAGTAGACTTGCTTGGCTAAGTAGCAAGAAAACATATTTGGATTGTGTTTGGAGAAGGATTTTATTCATTTTATCAGTAGAGTCACTGATCCACCAAATCTTTATTCATGTGAGTGATCTTTGCACTTGCAAATAATCCTGTTGTAGCTCACCCTCTATGAATGAAGCTCTTGTCTGCATTAATACGCATTCTTTGTTTTAGTGACTGTCAATAGGAAATAGTCAAGAGTAAATATTAAAGAGGGCATCGCTCCAATTAAAAAAAAAAAAAAAGCCTTAAAAGTTTTGCAAACTATATATATATTCACACCATCATTTCCAGATAGGATGGTCTTAAGACAGAAAAAAACTCAAATACTTTTATGCCAAATATTTAGCAGCCTCTCAAAGTCTCAAATGAACACTGTGGATGTACCTTCCTTATTTACATCAGTTCAGTATTGCTTAGACTCTAAATTTACCAAACATGGTTTTAGTAACTCGCAAGCCGTTACCCCCACACCTTATAAAATGCTTCTAGAAGGCTGCATCTATATTGCGTCTCAAAATACTCAATCTCCATCTGTATGCAACAAAAATAAACTTTTGTTTGTAAGGGAAAGCAAGAAGTATATGCTATTTCTACATGAAAATGCTGTTCACACAGTATTCACCGCTACCCAAAATTATGAGCCTCGTGTTACGACTGGAGTGTTGAGCCAAATACTTGAGGCTAAGGAATGGTGCAAGTTCTGTGAAGTTCTCCTGAGAGGGTCCCATGTCTTTTATATTGCGATCGCATACAGCTAACTGCACAGGCGTTGTGTGGGAAGTGGCGTGGTGCCCTGGAGAGGGGATGCAGTGGCCTGTAATATTGGTGTAGGTCTCCGGAGATGAGTTCAGTTCCCCATCTACAGCTTCCTCGTAGGATCTTAGGTGGGTTTTCTCATTGCTCTGGATGTCTGTACCATAAAGAACAGGTTTTGCATGGTCATAAGCGCTATAGGCTGTGTTTCTCACCCACCTTCTGTCCTCTTGGCTGCTCTGCAGATGGCCATCAGCTTCGCAGTATGGCCGTGTTTGATAATGTCCCACAGGCTTGTGCAGCCCTGTGGCCTCCAGGCCCAGTAGGCAGCACTGCCACAAGCCTTGACTGTGGATGTGGACAAGCCATGGCCACCGCGGCTTTGGCATTGAGCAGGGCAGATCGGGGCTTAGTTTCTTCTCTATAAATGGGGATGTGCGATGTAGGAGTACCCAGCATAGATATGTAGGGATGCTTTGAGAAAATCGCATCGCAGCCTCATGTTGATAACCTCAGACACTGTATTGCCCATGAAACACCGTTACGGTCTGGAGTATGGCATGACAAACAGGCTCGTGTTCTGCTGTTTCAGTGTCATCACGGGCTGGGACGTGGTCACAAAAAGGGTGTTTGAAGGGTCTGACACTCCAGTCACAAAGGTAAAAATCAAAGCTTTGTCAGAAAGTGAAGGCAATGGCATCTTTAATGGTGTGGGGGAGAAAAGGCTGTCTAGAGCTCAGCGGAAAACTAATCTAATTGTATTCTACGTTTGAAAGTACAACCTCAGAGAGCCCAGAGACTCTTGCTGGGCAGCAGAAGGGGAATCCTGCTGTTCTCTGCCATCCTCCTACTCGCGTTGGTGGGAGCACACACATTCACCCCCAGCCAGGCATGTCCCTGGTCCTCTGCTCGCCGTGAAACCCACAACCCGCCCAAGCCATCTCTGCTTTCCTGGGGCACACGGATGGGAATGGGGACAGACTGCAGAAAGTGCTTCAGGAGCAATATTACACGGAGCTTAACAGCAGTTGTGTAAACACAACCAAAGTCTGGTTTTGGGAAACGTGGGTGGGCATTCTGCTTGAGAGTCTGTGTCTTCGGAATTCTCCAGCTTTTCCTGGAGAGGAACTGCCTGTGTCTTTTAAAACATCCTGTGAGGGTTGAAAGTTTGCTCAACGCTTGTCATTCAAAACGTCTCAGAGAGAGAAAAATGCCAGCAAGCAGCAAATCCATCAGGAACAGCAACGACAGACAATTCCTGGTAATGAGCCATTGTTTAAGTTTAAGAATATTAAGAAAGGAGTATAACACATGAAGAAAAGCAAAGCTCTGTGTGAGCTATTCCTTTGTCTGAATTCTATATATTATATACAAATACAGTCTTCTCTCCCTGCCGTATTAGCAGACATCAGAGTAGCAGCAAAAGCCAAAAGGAAGGTAAGCAAAGTAGTTGGCATTGTCAATCTGGATATCTAAACTTGGACAACTCTGCCCACAGCAGAACCCTAAATTAAAATGTTGCTTTTCAGCCTAATCCACTGCGTTGCTAAAGCAGCAGAGAGACGGTGTTGCTGGGATTTCGTGTCAATGCTAGATTAGTTTCTAATGCTCTTCCACCGGTGCTGGGGGGTTAATGCCTCTCTGAACCCCTCTGTGCAGAGAAGGCACTTGCAAAGTCCTTGGAGGGTGGAATTTGTTCTCTCCAGACAAGAGTTTGACTCTGAGTGTTACCTCCTTTCTCTCCTGGTGTCAATTTACTAAGCTGGGGGATGCCCAAAGGAGAGGCAGGTGGAGTTTGCCGTGGTCCAGCCCTGTGCCTGAGGACCCGGCAGGGTACTGTGTGTGGCATCTCTGCCACAAAGACCCCCCTCATGTCCCACACTGGAGACCGTTCTGGTTAAATAAATCTCTGGGAGAAAGCATAGGCTCCAAGGAAAGCAGATGATACCGTGTCAATACGTAAATCCTCATCTGGCATGGATCGGTGAAGTTGTGCTGCCATCAGCAGAGCTGGTCTGGTTTGCAGTGGTGAAGCACCTC